GATTGAGACACCCTGTCTTAAAAAAGAAGGTAGATAGCTTCTGGGGTGGATTGCTGGCATGCACACACACACACACACACACACACACACACACATACACACATATATGCACACACAAATATATAATACACTTATATACACAATATTATAGATATTTGTATTTTATAGACATGCACAAACAATATATAATATACACAATATATATTTTTATACACATGCACAGACAATATGTACATATATTATGTGTGCATGTGTATATGAAATCTCAAAATATGATAGACTAAGCCAACCACATCTTTGGTATCTATAACTTTTAAATGATTTAAGTTAGCCAAACAAAACAACTTCAGATCGGTTCACCATGCACAATCTAAGTTTTCTACTGTTTCCAGAATGGTTAATGAAATCACAGTGATTTAAAAGTGCACTTGTAATTGTACATGTAAAGGAAATTTTTATTTTTTGTTTTTGATACAGGATCTCTCTATGTAGCCCTGGCTGTCCTAGACCTCTGTGTGGGCCAGGCTGGCCTCGAACTCAGATCTCCATCAGCCTCTGCTCCCCTGAGTACTGGGGTTAAAGGCAGAGCACTGCTGGCATCTGTAAAGGATTTTTTTGTTTTGTGTTTCAAGACAGGGTTTCTCTGTGTAGTTTTGGAGCCTGTCCTGGAACTAGCTCTTGTAGACCAGGCTGGTCTTGAACTCAACAGAGATCCTCCTGCCTCTGCCTCCTGAGTGCTGGGATTAAAGGCGTGCGCCACCACTACCCAGCTTGTAAATGAATTTTTTTAAAGGTAGAAAACTTGGTGTGATACTACATCCCTATAGTTCCAGCATGTGGGAGGCTGAGACAAGAGGATTACTTGAGCTTGGGAGTTTAAAACTAGTCTGGGCAGCATAGGGAGTCCCACTCTCAAATATCAACAACGCAATAAAGATACTGATCTCAGTGTAAGACATATATGCATCCATGCTAGAAGGTATTAAGGCTAGACTCCTTATAAAGCCAAAGGATGTATTGACATAGACTACTGTAACTATATGCTAAGTAGCTGTGTGATAAGAAGGTGACTTCCATGAAGCTGAGGAGATACCAGGAGGAACAAACAAACACATGAATCCCTTCCTGGTAGGAGGCTGGAGAATCTTTGTTGTGGTCCAGGATACACAAGAAGACAAAAATAGGGACACAAAAGACACTGAGATACAGTCGTGAAAGAGTGTAACAGTTTAGACAAGAAAGTGTTGATTAAGGTGTTACTCTGAACCCTGAAAAACAGATCATGTCTTCTTTAGGACCATGTACAGTTCAGAAAAAGCCATTGTGTAAGTTCCATGTATATTGGGCAGAATACGGATTTAGGTTAGGGAAGCTACTTTGAAGAATACTATAGTGATACACCTAATTGTACACTTGACAGAGCTATGAAGTATACCCTTGAGTGTGACCCCTAATGTAAACTGTGAACTGGGTGATGATGGTAAGTCAGTGTTGGCTCATGGATTGAAATGAGTGTACTAGATGTTAGGGGAAGCAGGCAGCTGTGGTAATGGTACTTACTAATGCAGTTTTTTTTTTTTTTTTTTTTTTTTTTTTTTTGAGACAGGGTTTCTCTGTGGCTTTGGAGGCTGTCCTGGAACTAGCTCTTGTAGACCAGACTGGTCTCGAACTCACAGAGATCCGCCTGCCTCTGCCTCCCAAGTGCTGGGATTAAAGGCATGCCCCGCCACCGCCCAGCTCTAAGTTTTTTTTTTTTTTAAATGAACCTAAAACTGTTCTAAAGTATAAAGCCTATTTTTTTAAAGATTTTATTTGTTTATTATGTATACAACATTCTGTTCCCATGTATATCTGCATACCAGAAGAGGGTACCAGATCTCATAACGGATGGTTTTGAGCCACCATGTGGTTGCTGGGGATTGAACTCAGGACCTCTGGAAGAGCAGCCGGTGATCTTAACCTCTGAGCTATCTCTCCAGCCCAAGCCTGTTTCTTAAACAAATATTATTACTAGGTTTTATTTGTTTTTGCTGTTGTTTTTTTTGTGAGACAGTGTCTCGCTATATAGCCTTGGCTTGCTTGGAGCTGGATAAATAGACCAAGCTGGCCTCAAAATCACAGGGG